ATAATTAATAATCCAACGTTGAATAAACCATTGATTCCAATTAATATTATACATTTAAAAATATTATTGTAAATAATTGTTATTTTAAAAATTACAAAATATATATATTTATATATATATTTACGTATAGTATATATATATTATAATTCTAATATAGAATTTAAAAAAAAATGAGAAGAGATATAAAATATAAGAATTAATTATAGATCAATCATTATAAAAGAGTACTTTAGAGAGATCTCGGGAAGAAAGTTAATCGAGAAAATTAAAGAGAATTCACACTGGATCGTCAATTATTTTCCCCTTTTCGACGTAGATTCCTATTACCCGCATCCCTTAACGGCTTTCCACAATACACGTTGTTGTTTCCCTAAGGAATACACGAATACTCTTATACGACGTAATTACATACATACATTCATACGTATCTATAGATGTCCCGATACTATACAATACTACGAACAACACGACCTACCGCAAGAATTTAGTAAACCACAACTTTGCTACGGTAATGGCTGGCTGGGTGTTGTGGATGTAGATGGGGTTGACGGGTGGGTGGGGAGGGAGAGATGTGCAAGTTCCTTGCTAGGGGTTCTCGTCATTAACGACTTTTCCATCTCTCCGAAAATTCAGGAACTGAAGTCAAGTCGTTATACGTCGTTACCTCTCGACACGACTTTTGTGTGTGTGTATGTGTGTGTTTGTGTGTATGCATAGACATAACACATATCTATATATATATATACAGTGAAAGAAAATCGTAGACCAAGATAAAGCTTGCAAACCAGCAAGAGAAAGAGAAAGGGAAAGAGAGAGAGTGAGAGAGAGATAGATAAATAAAGAGATAGAAAGAGAGAAAAGAAGGTCCATTCACGTGTCACATTCGAAACGGCGTTTTCTCTTCTGCGAACAACCTAGGCCACAGGGTATAAATCCACCCTCGCGTTTATACGTGTCCTGAAATAGAAAGAGGGTTGAAAAAAGGAAAGGAAGAGAAAGGAGCATAGGACGAGGAGTGCAGCAGAGCTTCGAACGAAAAGTCCTCTTTTGGTTGGTGCAGAAAAAAAGATCTCCATTGCGTTTCAGCTCGACGAATAATTCACGAGATTCGATCGTCTTCCTCCTCCTTCTCCTCCTTCTCCTCCTCTTCTTCTTCTTCTTCTTCCATTTCTTCTTCTTCTTCTTCCATTTCTTCTTCTTTATTCTATCTCACTCTTTCACTTTCTCTAACTCGTTCTTCACAACCAGCTCGTTTTATATGCGAACAAGCGCTAACCTGTCATCCTCAATCCTGATGTACTTCCTAGTCTTGAAAGACGACAATCTGCCTTTGCTAGAATGAAATCCGTCGTTATTCGTAATTCGTCATCGAATATTAGAAAGAGAAAGAGAGAGAGAGAGAAAGAAAGATAAGAATAGTTTCATTTTCTCATTTTTTCCTCATTTTTGGTTTCTTTCTTTTTCTTTTTTCCTCCCTACGAATCCATCTTATTATTTAGTTCTCATTAACGAGTACGTTTCGATATGAAACAAAAATTGGTCACACGAGTCATGAGAATTATTCGTCGTATGGTGATATTTTATCGGGACATAAGTATTCGTATATCGTTATTAATTAATATAAATGTATAATTTGTTATTCAATTAGTTGTGTTACTATCGTCCAAAAATAAAATTCTTAATAAGATGGTATATTATTTTTCGATGACGGATTAATGACATTAACACGTTTTAACAATAATTTGTTCACATTTTTCGTAAAGAAAATAATTCACCGGATATATAAAGTACGCGCTATGTTATTTTAGAAATAAAATAATCTAATTAAAATATTAATAAAAAGGTATCATAGGGAATTTGGACATCAAAAAAAAGGAAGTAGAACTTAATTCTAAACTAGAATTTTAGATTGAAACAGTTTTTTAGATTAATTAGACACGTTTTTTTTTTTATAGGATTCCGTGTATGTGTGTTTGACACTTGTCCTTTGTATATAAAATATTCCTTTTATATTATAACACTGCACATACGAGTGATTACATTATATTTTATAATTTATGAAAGAGATACCAAAAAAGAAAAAGTCATTTAATATATGATTTTATTTCTTTTTACATGATTTCAAATAGAACATTTCGTTTTTTCTTTTTTCTTTGTTCTTTGTCTTTCCTCGTTTCGAATAATAATAATAATAATCGATTTTAAATATTAATTTTCCTCCCTTTTCTAATCTTCATTTTTATCTCCATTTTTTTTTTTTTTGTGTAACAATAAGATACATAAGATCTTATTATGTTTTTTAAGGAAACTAAAAAAAGGGGTCGTCACATTTTTCTCGTTACTTGGGGGAATAATAAAAAGAAAGAAAGAAAGTAAGAAAAAATAGATGACTCTTTGAGATATTCCCCCCACTCCTCCTCTTCCTCCTCCTCCTTCTCCTCCTCCTCGCAGTAAGGTACAATACCAAGACTAAATAAGCAAAGAAGCATACTCTTATTTCGTCTGAGTATAAGTTTAATCCTGCTACTAAAGAGTTCCCTCCACCTACGTGCCTCCTGTTTTTTCCATGCAAAGTCGGATAATAACGAGATGCAAACCTACGACTCTGGAATCAAAAAGTGTATAGTTCGCGTGTGTAAAAACATCTACGTGAAAGAAAGAAAATAAGGGGGAAGGTATGCTAGCGAGATCACGTTTATTAACATTGTAATTTTCCATTCGTAAATAACCGTGCAAATTGACGATTTTGTTCTTTTTCTTTTTCTTCTTTTTTTTTTTCTCTTATTAAAAAATATTTTCTAATATCCTTTTTAATATCTTTCCTCTTTTTTTTTTTTTTATCGTCAACAAATAATAAAGAGAAACGTTCCCATGGTAAATTATATTCAATATTTGTTATAGTTAATTTTTTTCATTTTATATCATTCAAATATTATTATAAGCGAATATAAATATAAAAATTAATTCATGGAAAATTTTGATTCGAATTTTCTCCATCTCTATTCATGGTATTAATGATTACCCGCATACTATATATTTTGCAAGAATTTCCAATGTTATTTGAAAAATTATATTATCCCGATAAAATGTTATTAATACATATATATATATGTTACTATTTTCGTAATTTCCAAGAGATCGCGTCAAATTAACGTTGGAAAATGAATTTTACGAAATATGATTTTCCATAATAAAAATATAAATTAAAAATAAATTCGTCGTTTTATCGTTAGAAAATCATTTGACCAATTTACCAACGATTAATTTATTATTTGATTATCAGGATTTAGAGTGATCTCTCCGTCCCTTCCTCCCACCCTTGTAGACCAACGATATAGAATTGTGATTTCGTTATTTAACCATAAGCTCGAGAAATCCTTTCGAATAAGCCATATACTCTTAAAAGCTAATCCCTGCATTACTCTTGGATTAAATTTCATCCATTATCACAGATTCGCGCTAAATTTCTATTGTCCGCGTTATATACCTATCTGCCATTCACCATACCGCAGTATATATATCGTGGACGAAATGTCTTCGATCAACAACAATCTAAAGGATTATCATAATTAACGTTCGTCTGCGGTGGCACGCGACCAAAAAATCAATACTTTTAACTGATGCAAAATATTGAATAACAAATTTCTCTATATTAATTAATCGTTCAATGCGATAACATGTGTTTAACTAATTAATATTCAAATTAATGAACGAACGAATCAACATAAATTTTATAAATAATTTTCCTATACCATTTTTTGTTTCGCCAAAAAGAAATATGAAAATTCATATATATATATATATATTATAATA